CTACCGCCGGTTCATTAAAGACTACTCAAAGATCGTGAAGCCACTCAACGAGCTCACTGCTGGCTATCCATCGCTAAGAAAGCACGCTAAAACCACAGTGAACCCTGAGAAGTATTTCAATCCAAAGGACGGCTTTGGTGACAGATGGACGCTTGCTTGCCAAACAGCATTCGACACCATAATCGAAAAGCTAACAACCGCACCCATCCTCGGATTTGCTGACCCCAAGCTCCCTTACATTTTACATACAGATGCAAGCACTTTTGGCCTTGGTGCTGCTCTCTACCAGGAGCAACAGGGACAGAAGCGCGTCATTGCTTATGCGAGCCGAGGCCTGTCAAAGTGTGAGTCCAGGTATCCTGCTCACAAATTAGAATTTCTTGCCCTTAAGTGGGCAGTAACAGAGAAATTCCAGGATTACCTGTACGGAAACACATTCCTTGCTGTCACAGATAGCAATCCATTAACGTACATTCTTACCTCAGCTAAACTCGACGCCACGAGCTACAGATGGTTGGCCGCTCTGTCGACATTCGATTTCCAGCTACAGTACAGAGCCGGTAAGCAGAATCAGGACGCGGATGGGCTGTCCAGACGTCCTCATGGCAAAGTACCTGATGACACATCGTCACAAAAAGAGTTGGAGAGGATACAACAATTCACAAAAAGACACTTGTCAGAGGCTGATTATGCACACCTGAACGGAAGCACCATCAAAGCCATCTGTGAGAAGCACTTGGTCCATGAAGTAATCAGCAATCACCCTGGGGAAACATCACCCAGCACCACCTTGGTTGTGTCACTTGCCCACCATCCAAAGGCTCTCCCTCAAAGCTTTGAAGAGGAGGATCAGCTTGGTGGCTTACCTGTCATCCCCCCGCTATCACCAGCAGAACTAAGAGACAAACAAAATGCTGATCCCTGCATTGGTGAAGTCCTCAGGCAAGTGGAGTCTGGAGAGAAACCCCCTCCATCCTTGAGGAAAGAACTTCCTGAGCTTGGTCTCTTATTGAGGGAGTGGAACAAACTGGAGGTTTCAAATGGCGTTTTGTATCGCAGGCGACAAGAGGGTGCTCAGACTCACTACCAGCTTGTACTTCCAGAAGCCCTGAGATGCGTAGTCCTCAAGAGCCTCCACGATGACATGGGCCATATGGGCATAGAGCGCACACTAGATCTTGTCCGGAAGCGATTCTATTGGCCGAAAATGTCAACTGAGGTGGAAAATAAAGTCAGAACCTGCAACCGTTGCATACGACGTAAGACCATGCCCGAGAAAGCTGCACCACTCATCAATATCGTGGCCACGAGACCACTCGAACTTGTGTGCATGGATTTTCTCAGTGTGGAGCCGGACTCAAGTAACACAAAAGACATTCTGGTCATCACCGACCATTTTACGAAATATGCAGTGGCAGTCCCCACCCCGAATCAGAAAGCCAGGACAGTGGCCAAGACCTTGTGGGACCACTTTTTCGTCCATTATGGCATTCCCGAAAGACTCCACAGTGACCAAGGTCCCGACTTTAACTCCCGAACAATAAAAGAACTGTGTGATCTCATCGGCACCAAAAAGATAAGAACCACACCCTACCATCCGAGAGGGAACCCTGTAGAACGTTTCAACAGGACCCTGCTCAACATGTTGGGAACCCTTGAAAACCAGAAGAAGAGTCACTGGCGGGAGTATGTCAAGCCGTTAGTACACGCTTATAATTGTACTAAGAACGAAACAACCGGCTTTAGCCCTTACGAGTTAATGTTCGGGCGTCAACCAAGATTGCCAGTTGACCTAGCCTTTGGCCTACCAGTCAATCATAAGCCAGGCTCTCACTCGCAATATGTCCACAACCTGAAATCTCAACTTGAAGACAGTTACAGAGTAGCAACTGAGAATGCTACAAAGACAGCCAATCGCAACAAAGCAAGGTTTGACAAGCATGTTGTTGACTCCACCTTGAAAGAAGGCGACAGAGTTCTAGTTCGAAATGTCCGTCTCAGAGGCAAGCACAAGTTAGCTGATAGGTGGGAGTCCGACGTGTATGTTGTCCTGAGGCAGTCTGGAGATGTCCCAGTGTATGTTGTGAAACCTGAGACAAGGGATGGTCCACAAAGAACTCTTCATCGTGACCTCTTGCTGCCATGTGGTTTCCTTCCTATGACCCTGGTCGAAAGCGAAATTAACCCGCCGAAGGCAGTAAGGCGACCAAGAACTCGACAACATTCTAAAAATAACACATCAAATGGAGCTGATGGGGATGAATCCCAATCTGATTCTGAGGAATACCACTATCACAGAAACCTAAAAGTGGACACACTAGGTTTCAACCTGACTTCCGAACCTATGGAATACTTACCTGAAAGGATTGAACCAGAACCTGACTTGACTACTGTTGAGCAAAATCCTCCAGACGTAGCCAAAGCTTTCCCTGAGAATTCTCCAGTAGAAACTTATGACCTAGACTTACCTGATCCTGAAGAGAAAGACTTACCT